CTCTTGTTGCCTTGGGGGGCAGACACGACAGCGTGACAATGACAGATGACTGAAGTTGTCCTACCTTTCTTCTCAACCAAAGGCTGCCTTTCTGCATGTTCTCAATCGCTCGATCCACATATTATTGATCCACACACGTCACACGCTTGCTGCTGCTGCACATAACACAGGTGCATTCACTTACATACACACCGCGCCGTGCGGCGCATTAATCGTTTTTCTTCGATTATAATGTTTTTATGATCGTGAGAAGCCAAAATCGAAATCATGATTAAAATTTGATTAATCGTCCAGCTCTACCAAAAAAATTGAATTTCCCCTCGGGGGTTAATAAAGTATATAAAAATGAAATAAAAATTTAAGTGGAACTTTTGACCTGAACCACATAGAAAGATGCTGACAGGAAACAGAGCGTTAGCAAGAGAGAGGAGGGTACGACACGTCGAGCTAAATTGATATGTATTTCTATTATTGATTCATTTGCTATTTTTCCTTCTTTGGTAATTAAATCATCCAAAAAGTCAGATCTTCGTTTTGGTTAGGGTTAGGGTTTGGAGGAACAGGAGGAGCACTGCCAGAGCCCTACAACATGACCTCCAGCAGGCTACTGGTGTGCATGTTTCTGACCACACTGTCAGAAACAGACTCCATGAGGGTGGCATGAGGGCCCCACGTCCTCTACAGGGACCTGTGCTCACAGCCCAGCACCGTGCAGCTCCATCATTCACCAGAGAACACCAGAACTGGCAGGTCCACCATTGGCGCCCCGTTCTCTTCACAGATGAGAGCAGGTTCACACTGAGCACATGTGACAGGCGTGAAAGAGTCTGGAGACGCCGTGGTGAACATTATGCTGCCTGTGACATCATCCAGCATGACAGGTTTGGTGGTGGGTCACTGATGGTCTGGGGAGGCAGATCCTTGGAGGGTTGCACAGACCTCCATGTCATAGCCAACAGTACCCTGATTGCTGTTAGGTACCAGGATGAAATCCTCAGAACGACTGTCAGACCTTACGCTGGTGCAGAGGGCCCTGGGTTCCTCCTGGTGCAGAGGGCCCTGGGTTCCTCCTGGTGCAGAGGGCCCTGGGTTCCTCCTGGTGCAGAGGGCCCTGGGTTCCTCCTGGTGCAGAGGGCCCTGGGTTCCTCCTGGTGCAGAGGGCCCTGGGTTCCTCCTGGTGCAGAGGGCCCTGGGTTCCTCCTGGTGCAGAGGGCCCTGGGTTCCTCCTGGTGCAGAGGGCCCTGGGTTCCTCCTGGTGCAGAGGGCCCTGGGTTCCTCCTGGTGCAGAGGGCCCTGGGTTCCTCCTGGTGCAGAGGGCCCTGGGTTCCTCCTGGTGCAGAGGGCCCTGGGTTCCTCCTGGTGCAGAGGGCCCTGGGTTCCTCCTGGTGCAGAGGGCCCTGGGTTCCTCCTGGTGCAGAGGGCCCTGGGTTCCTCCTGGTGCAGAGGGCCCTGGGTTCCTCCTGGTGCAGAGGGCCCTGGGTTCCTCCTGGTGCAGAGGGCCCTGGGTTCCTCCTGGTGCAGAGGGCCCTGGGTTCCTCCTGGTGCAGAGGGCCCTGGGTTCCTCCTGGTGCAGAGGGCCCTGGGTTCCTCCTGGTGCAGAGGGCCCTGGGTTCCTCCTGGTGCAGAGGGCCCTGGGTTCCTCCTGGTGCAGAGGGCCCTGGGTTCCTCCTGGTGCAGAGGGCCCTGGGTTCCTCCTGGTGCAGAGGGCCCTGGGTTCCTCCTGGTGCAGAGGGCCCTGGGTTCCTCCTGGTGCAGAGGGCCCTGGGTTCCTCCTGGTGCAGAGGGCCCTGGGTTCCTCCTGGTGCAGAGGGCCCTGGGTTCCTCCTGGTGCAGAGGGCCCTGGGTTCCTCCTGGTGCAGAGGGCCCTGGGTTCCTCCTGGTGCAGAGGGCCCTGGGTTCCTCCTGGTGCAGAGGGCCCTGGGTTCCTCCTGGTGCAGAGGGCCCTGGGTTCCTCCTGGTGCAGAGGGCCCTGGGTTCCTCCTGGTGCAGAGGGCCCTGGGTTCCTCCTGGTGCAGAGGGCCCTGGGTTCCTCCTGGTGCAGAGGGCCCTGGGTTCCTCCTGGTGCAGAGGGCCCTGGGTTCCTCCTGGTGCAGAGGGCCCTGGGTTCCTCCTGGTGCAGAGGGCCCTGGGTTCCTCCTGGTGCAGAGGGCCCTGGGTTCCTCCTGGTGCAGAGGGCCCTGGGTTCCTCCTGGTGCAGAGGGCCCTGGGTTCCTCCTGGTGCAGAGGGCCCTGGGTTCCTCCTGGTGCAGAGGGCCCTGGGTTCCTCCTGGTGCAGAGGGCCCTGGGTTCCTCCTGGTGCAGAGGGCCCTGGGTTCCTCCTGGTGCAGAGGGCCCTGGGTTCCTCCTGGTGCAGAGGGCCCTGGGTTCCTCCTGGTGCAGAGGGCCCTGGGTTCCTCCTGGTGCAGAGGGCCCTGGGTTCCTCCTGGTGCAGAGGGCCCTGGGTTCCTCCTGGTGCAGAGGGCCCTGGGTTCCTCCTGGTGCAGAGGGCCCTGGGTTCCTCCTGGTGCAGAGGGCCCTGGGTTCCTCCTGGTGCAGAGGGCCCTGGGTTCCTCCTGGTGCAGAGGGCCCTGGGTTCCTCCTGGTGCAGAGGGCCCTGGGTTCCTCCTGGTGCAGAGGGCCCTGGGTTCCTCCTGGTGCAGAGGGCCCTGGGTTCCTCCTGGTGCAGAGGGCCCTGGGTTCCTCCTGGTGCAGAGGGCCCTGGGTTCCTCCTGGTGCAGAGGGCCCTGGGTTCCTCCTGGTGCAGAGGGCCCTGGGTTCCTCCTGGTGCAGAGGGCCCTGGGTTCCTCCTGGTGCAGAGGGCCCTGGGTTCCTCCTGGTGCAGAGGGCCCTGGGTTCCTCCTGGTGCAGAGGGCCCTGGGTTCCTCCTGGTGCAGAGGGCCCTGGGTTCCTCCTGGTGCAGAGGGCCCTGGGTTCCTCCTGGTGCAGAGGGCCCTGGGTTCCTCCTGGTGCAGAGGGCCCTGGGTTCCTCCTGGTGCAGAGGGCCCTGGGTTCCTCCTGGTGCAGAGGGCCCTGGGTTCCTCCTGGTGCAGAGGGCCCTGGGTTCCTCCTGGTGCAGAGGGCCCTGGGTTCCTCCTGGTGCAGAGGGCCCTGGGTTCCTCCTGGTGCAGAGGGCCCTGGGTTCCTCCTGGTGCAGAGGGCCCTGGGTTCCTCCTGGTGCAGAGGGCCCTGGGTTCCTCCTGGTGCAGAGGGCCCTGGGTTCCTCCTGGTGCAGAGGGCCCTGGGTTCCTCCTGGTGCAGAGGGCCCTGGGTTCCTCCTGGTGCAGAGGGCCCTGGGTTCCTCCTGGTGCAGAGGGCCCTGGGTTCCTCCTGGTGCAGAGGGCCCTGGGTTCCTCCTGGTGCAGAGGGCCCTGGGTTCCTCCTGGTGCAGAGGGCCCTGGGTTCCTCCTGGTGCAGAGGGCCCTGGGTTCCTCCTGGTGCAGAGGGCCCTGGGTTCCTCCTGGTGCAGAGGGCCCTGGGTTCCTCCTGGTGCAGAGGGCCCTGGGTTCCTCCTGGTGCAGAGGGCCCTGGGTTCCTCCTGGTGCAGAGGGCCCTGGGTTCCTCCTGGTGCAGAGGGCCCTGGGTTCCTCCTGGTGCAGAGGGCCCTGGGTTCCTCCTGGTGCAGAGGGCCCTGGGTTCCTCCTGGTGCAGAGGGCCCTGGGTTCCTCCTGGTGCAGAGGGCCCTGGGTTCCTCCTGGTGCAGAGGGCCCTGGGTTCCTCCTGGTGCAGAGGGCCCTGGGTTCCTCCTGGTGCAGAGGGCCCTGGGTTCCTCCTGGTGCAGAGGGCCCTGGGTTCCTCCTGGTGCAGAGGGCCCTGGGTTCCTCCTGGTGCAGAGGGCCCTGGGTTCCTCCTGGTGCAGAGGGCCCTGGGTTCCTCCTGGTGCAGAGGGCCCTGGGTTCCTCCTGGTGCAGAGGGCCCTGGGTTCCTCCTGGTGCAGAGGGCCCTGGGTTCCTCCTGGTGCAGAGGGCCCTGGGTTCCTCCTGGTGCAGAGGGCCCTGGGTTCCTCCTGGTGCAGAGGGCCCTGGGTTCCTCCTGGTGCAGAGGGCCCTGGGTTCCTCCTGGTGCAGAGGGCCCTGGGTTCCTCCTGGTGCAGAGGGCCCTGGGTTCCTCCTGGTGCAGAGGGCCCTGGGTTCCTCCTGGTGCAGAGGGCCCTGGGTTCCTCCTGGTGCAGAGGGCCCTGGGTTCCTCCTGGTGCAGAGGGCCCTGGGTTCCTCCTGGTGCAGAGGGCCCTGGGTTCCTCCTGGTGCAGAGGGCCCTGGGTTCCTCCTGGTGCAGAGGGCCCTGGGTTCCTCCTGGTGCAGAGGGCCCTGGGTTCCTCCTGGTGCAGAGGGCCCTGGGTTCCTCCTGGTGCAGAGGGCCCTGGGTTCCTCCTGGTGCAGAGGGCCCTGGGTTCCTCCTGGTGCAGAGGGCCCTGGGTTCCTCCTGGTGCAGAGGGCCCTGGGTTCCTCCTGGTGCAGAGGGCCCTGGGTTCCTCCTGGTGCAGAGGGCCCTGGGTTCCTCCTGGTGCAGAGGGCCCTGGGTTCCTCCTGGTGCAGAGGGCCCTGGGTTCCTCCTGGTGCAGAGGGCCCTGGGTTCCTCCTGGTGCAGAGGGCCCTGGGTTCCTCCTGGTGCAGAGGGCCCTGGGTTCCTCCTGGTGCAGAGGGCCCTGGGTTCCTCCTGGTGCAGAGGGCCCTGGGTTCCTCCTGGTGCAGAGGGCCCTGGGTTCCTCCTGGTGCAGAGGGCCCTGGGTTCCTCCTGGTGCAGAGGGCCCTGGGTTCCTCCTGGTGCAGAGGGCCCTGGGTTCCTCCTGGTGCAGAGGGCCCTGGGTTCCTCCTGGTGCAGAGGGCCCTGGGTTCCTCCTGGTGCAGAGGGCCCTGGGTTCCTCCTGGTGCAGTGGGCCCTGGGTTCCTCCTGGTGCAGAGGACCCTGGGTTCCTCCTGGTGCAGAGGGCCCTGGGTTCCTCCTGGTGCAGTGGGCCCTGAGTTCCTCCTGGTGCAGAGGGCCCTGGGTTCCTCCTGGTGCAGAGGGCCCTGGGTTCCTCCTGGTGCCTCATGTGTCCAGAGTGTAGACAGTTCCTGGATGATGAAGGCAGTGATGCCACAGACTGGCCCTCTTGTCCCCCTGACCTAAATCCAGCTGAGCACCTATGGGACGTTATGTATCAGTGTGTCCACCACAGACTGACCAGGAGCTCACTGATGCCCTGATCCAGGTCTGGGAGGAGATCCCCCAGGACATCATCCTCCGACTCATCAGGAGCATGCTCAGATGTTGTGAGGAGGTCATACAGGCAGGCGGGGGCCATACACACTACTGAGTCACATGATGAGTTGATGTGATAAAATTCACACACATTGGATCAGCCTGTGATTTTACTTGATTTTCAGCCCTCAGTGTGTTGATGATCTTGGTTTCCACTGACTGTTGTTATGTCATAATTCGTTCATCAACATCTGATGTGTGATTTAAATGTTCCCTTCATTTTCTGAGCAGTGTATTAATGTAATATTGACTCACTCGTTGTGTCTCGGTGTCTTTCAGGGCTGCTGAAGTTCTGCACTGTTGGTTTCTGTGGAATCGGCACTCTGATCGACTTCATACTGATCGCCATGCAGGTGAGTCACAAACCCAGTCAGCTGCTGGTCACATACTGGTCAGGAACTGGTCGACACACAGCCTGTAAACAGACAACATTCAGGTCATCATGACTGATTTCTCAGCTTTCTTCTTTGAGAAATGTTTCAGCCAATAGCTGACGAGCTTTAAACTGGTGTTTTCCTTTTTACTGGGAGCAACTTGTAATTAATTACAGGGCTGCATCTCATGATTAATACATCAGAACCAGTTTATCTCTTAATTATTAACTGTTGGGTCTATAATATCATATCATCATATAATATCAGGAAAAATGCTTTGTTTGGTGCGAACAACAGTTGAGAACCCAAAGATATTTAGTTAACTTAAGAGAATATTTTAGACTCTGGAGAACAGCTGGAGTTTTTGTATGTTAAAGGAATAGTTTGACATTTTGGAAAATACACTAATTTACTTTATTGCAGAGTTCAGATTGACGCCACCCTCACGTCTGTATGGGGAATACAAAGCTACAGCCAGCAGCTGGTTAGCCTAGCTTAGCATAAAGACTGGAAACAGATGGAATCAGCTAGCTCTGTGTAACGGTTACAAAATCCACCCAGCAGCTCATCTAACGCTCAATGTTTAGTCTGTCCAGGAACCAAATGTAAAAATCACAGTTTGCTTTTTTTATTAGGCGCTATGTGCTGCACTGTTTGTTGGCTGCAATAAAAATAAATAAGAAAAGAAACAGCCCCTTAATTTGACAAAATACTCTTAAGTCTTTAGCCCCTTTTACACTGCCAGATTTTTGGCGAATGTTAGGCCGTTTTGCCGGCAAGCTGCGAGCGTTTAGACACACAGAGCCGGACTGGCGAGTTGATCCGAGGCACCCAATTTTCCTCCTCGTAGGGTAGACATATTGGAGGAACCGTTTAGTTTAAACAGACCGAGGCGGCCTTCTGCAACAGGAGGGGCTGTTGATGACTTGTGGGAGGAGCTGTTGATGACGCCGCACGTGCGACCCACTGGCGGTGGATAAACAGGAGACAGCTGATAGCAGGAATTAGCGAGCAGCTAGTAGCAAGAGGGAAACACAAACCTGACAGACACTGTAAAGATGAGCAGCTGGGGAGACAAGGAATTGTGCGCCCTCCTTGTCCTCACAAACGAAGAGGCCATTAACCGTCGCCGAAGGACTGACCAGCTGCGGCTTCCCTCCCATGTCACTGTTTACGTCACATGCTGAGCTACACGTTTTGTTACTCAACATGATCACAGGCCATGAAGTTGTCTTCATGTACCTAAACTTTAATACTTCAGTCACAAAAACCAAGCCTCAAACTCTGAAGGGAGCTGAAAGGTGCCCTAAAAAGCAGAAGATGTGGAGCTAGAATCTGCTGCTGTGGCATTTTGGTCCAGACAGGCCCAACACAATCAACCACACCGTAGGGCATTTGCAACATGTGGTGGGCCCCCCTCCCCTCAAAGAAATTTTGAGCGACAAACACTAACAGAGTTTTTCTGCATCAATTCATGGTGGGAATGTCTTGGTAGGGCTGGATGATTTGGACAAATATTCATACCTCTTTATTTTCAGACTGAACGGCGATACAAGATATATCTCTGTATTTTCTAGATAATGAGCTTTGTGTTTTCAGCTGCAAGTCAATGCCACTTTTGAGATGTCACAAACACTTCTATAAAACAGACTGATCAAAATAAAATGCAAAGACAGGGATTTTTTTCCTGTTTGAAAATAAACAGCTGCACAACATGTACCTGAAAAGTGATATAAAGTAAACAGCAGGGCCGTACGTTAACTTGGTGCACACAGCACTGGAGCTACAGAGGTTTAAAGGTTCACAGCACACGACACTGAACTATAACGTGACTATAAAAGAATCAGGTAGGTTTGAAACTATTAAAAATCTTTGTGGGTGGACTTAAAAAGTTGTTTTCCATCTGTCGGCCTTTTAGATTAATCTAGTGCTGGAAAATTATTTAAATATTTTAGACTTATTTCTGCACAGAGCATCGACAGAGAGGCTGAGGGAGGGACGGAGACAGAGACACTTTGTCCTCGTTATATACGTCTTGTATATGAAACGTCTGTGTTGTTGCTGCTTTTTTTTTTAAGCCCATCTGTCGCCTGCATCCAGGAGCCATCTCAGTGACACACAATAGACGTCAGCTACCAAGAAGAACGGCGATGATCCACCTCACACACAATCTAGCAAACAAACACTCGCCTGACACAATCAAGCAGCTCTGTCTCCTGAACATGCAGCGCAGCGCTGTACTGCACGTGTGCTACTGTGCACTTTCAGGCTGCTGTCTGCCCTAGAGTGGTCTCCTCTGGTCTGAATCAGGGACTCATGTTGTCCCAAAGTTGTATAATTGCCTAGAGTTGGTTCGTGTTCTCACGGCAGCATTTACAAGAGGACCAGATCAAATGCCTTGTGTGAGAAAGCTGCTCTTGATTGGTCTGAATTTCCATGTGGGAAAAATCCAGGAAGTAAAGCAAACGTTGAAGAAGAGTACACTTGCAAGATAAATGTGACACTTTCTAATGTCACAATGGAGGGACAACTACGCAGGTTGATTTTAGCGCTGCTCATCGTGGACTATATTGCTGTCATTGTTCATTTTAGTCAAACCATACAGTTTGAAAACGAGGCGCGGCTCCAACTAGAAAACAATGTTTTGATGCATTGGATGTGCTGAATGTGCATATTAAGGCAGTACAGGAGGAGGTGCACATTAATAATCCTCCAGGACTGTAACATGCTCATGTTTAACCCAAACAATGTGTCATGTGACTGCAGTTGCTTCACATCCAGGTCGGAACACCTTCTCACCACAAACCAACCGCACCAGAGTTCCTTTGGAACCGGACTGAGACCACCTCTTCAAGAAGGTCTCAGTCCGGTTGTTTTGGTGTGTTCACACCTGCACAATGAACCGCACTGAGGGGACAAACGAACTTGACTTTGATTGAACCAAACCAAACAGGGCAGGTGTGAAAGCAGCCTTAGAGAACTAAGTTCAGTTCGTTTAAAAAGGACGATTTGTGAAAACACCCTTAGTGTTGCTGGAGAACTTGTGAGTGAGTGAGGGGGCGGAGCTGTGCGGCGAGGGAGAGAGAGTAGACCTGGACACTGGTATGTGTGATGTAATTCAACTTGAACCTGTATCGATATAAACAGTGTTGTCTAAGTCAAAAATACACAGATATATATCGTACATCATGCAGCTTCAGCTGCACATAGTAGCTTCTTCTTCGGTCCCTATTATGGCAGTTTGTTCCATTTAGCAGCCATGACTTCTGAGGTCTCATACTGCCCTCTACTTTACCAGAGACGTTGTTGTGACTGTAAGTCGTGTTCCAGCAATTTGGTAAAATAAAGTCCTCTCCTACTTTCATGTTTTTGGGATGGGGGGACAAATGCACAAGTTCTAAGTGTATGTAAGTGAGGTTTTGTCCCATTTCTCAAAATCAGTTCAGTACAATGAAACCAAAACACGAACCTAAGTTCAGACTTTCAGGTGTGCGAAGGCCCTGAATCACTGCTCTCTGATCAATTTGAATAAAAGCACTTAAACCTCACTCACGCTGTGTTTGTTCCTCACACACACCGACACACTCTGGTTCTTGTTTCGTGTCCTCTTGTGTGAGTGACATCTGTGATGAAGAGTTCCTTGTTTCACAAAGGATCCATTTTAGCGTGGCACGCGGCAGCCGAGCCTCATATTTTAGTGGCTAACTGCCTGGTGGGGGGAGGGGACGGACCCCCGAGCCTGATGAATAAACAGGCGTCGGCCTTCTGATTATTATTTACGTCCATCCATCCTGCAGCGCTGCGGCTCTCTGAGACCCACAAGATGAGTGATGCTTCTAGAAGTTCCTAATGGACTCAGAGAGGACGGAGACAGACGGATGGAGAGGGGGAAACAGGAGGTGAAGGGACGAATCACTCCTTCCTGTTCAAACGCTTTAGATAATAGAGGCTGGAGATCCATCACAGGGAGGTGTGAAGGGGACCAACAGTGGATGGATGGAAGGACTAAACATGATACGAGTGGTCGGCAATGATTTTAAAATTCGTTGTGACGGCAGCTAATTTAGTCTCTAACCCAGCAGGCTGTAGTGTCCTGAGAGATGGAATTATTTATCTGACGGTGAAAATGTTTGGGAACTTGGTTTTGTAAAGAAAACCATCCAATAACTTTGCTTGTTTTGTAAGATCAAATTCAACCACGTTTGAGGGTGAAAGCTGATGCAGTAGTCTAACAGAATAATCTGAACTCAAGGGTTAGTAACGTTTCTTCCTGAGCTTTCAAACCACATCTCATGGTCCTCATCACTGATTCGCTCGGTCGTCATGGAGAGGCTTCTGTCATCATCACATGACCTGTGGGTGAGACTTTGGAAAGACCATGTGTGATCACATCCACCTGTATCAAGTGACCACAGTAGGTCACATGACAGATTTGTGTAGAGATGGAGGCTGTAAGATGTGGTTGAAAGCTCCTGGGAAAAAAATCTGATTGAGTCAAATTCATTTTATAAAAAAGCAGTTCAGGGTGTTTTATATGTAACATTAAAACAGAAAGGCAGATATGTGCACATACAGTACACACACACACATATAGACACATATTCAGACATACATGGAGTCATGTCACTCTGTGAGTGAACATCATGGGTCTGATTTACAACCTTGACTTTGGACGCTAGGTAAAATGTAAATAAAAACAGATTGCAGTGATTTGCGAATCTATTTGAACCTTTATTCAATTAAATGCCGTACAGAGACAAGATGCTTAATGTTTAAACTGATAAACTTTGTTTCTCATTTGTCTCATGTGTTGCGTCTCCGCCTGCAGATCGTGGGTCCAGCAGACGGATCAAACTACATCGTTGATTATTACGGCGCCCGGCTGACCCGCCTGTCCATCACCAACCAGACCTACAGGAAGCCACACCTGTCTCTGTGAACACACCTGAACACACTGACAGGAACACTGTGAGTCCAGACTTTAGAATCTGTTTGTTTGTTGTCGGGTCACGTTCTTACGCCCAGTTCAGACCAAAGAATCATGATGAGACGAAACCATTTTAGAACGTTGCAGAGAAAAGTATCAGCGCTGTGAACTGGCCGGCTGATGGTGTCACCTGACACTCAGCTGGTTTTAAAGCACGTCACCTGTTTCAACAGCCAATCAGCTTGTAGTGAAGTCCGCTGGTCAAGTCAAAATGACCACAGATGGCGTGTTGGCTTGCTGCAGCAGGTGCTCCGTCCCCACACACACACATTCTCATTGACTGATGAATTGACGCTGGTTATTTATATTATTGTGGCGTATTGATTATGAATACAGTCCATCTGATGCTGGTTTTGTTTCATCACTGTAGCCAGTATCTCACTATCACTATCCTCATTCAGAGTTTAAGAAGCTACAAATTATATTCAGCCACAAAATAAGTCTGAAAAGATGCAAATCAGAACGAAGTACAGAGAGTTGTTGACTAGAGACGATACGCCGTCTCATGGTGGTCACTTCCTGTCAACGTTACAGATCAGAAGCACAGAGAGTCGTTGACTAGAGATGATACGCCGTCTCATGGTGGTCACTTCCTGTCGACGTTACAGATCAGAAGCACAGAGAGTTGTTGACTAGAGATGATACACCGTCTCATGGTGGTCACACGCAGTACTGTAGCCAGGCAGATCCAGTACAACACAGCAGCTGCTGATTACAACATGTTGTAACAGCTGCCACTTTAAAATAAAAATCCAGAGCAGATAGAAAAACACAGTGGATCATCAGGGAATAAAAACAAGTGACAGATGTAGAGAAACGTGACCTCACAACCAACACCTGAATCAGAAAGAACAGGTTAAACTTCACAGTTCAAGGTCACACACACACACACACACACACACACACACACTCTCTCTCTCGTCTCCTGGGACAAAGTGGTTAAATATCAGAGTGTAAAGTCAACATGAGGAAAGTTTCTCAGGGGACAAAGACGTGACACTGGATGAAATATAATCCAGTTTGTCTCATTTCAAAATGTGCAGGAGCTCCCAGAGTGCACTGGAACAGGTACATTTACTCAAGTACTGCGCTTGTACTTTATTTGAGTAGGGCTGCAGCTATTGATCATTACTTTCTTGATCAATCTAGGGATTTTTTTTTTTCAATCAGCCGATTTATTAACTAGTAATGTTTGGATTATTCTGTCGCTTGATTAATAAACAATAGAACTTGTCTTATTAATATTTGAATAAATTTATTTAATAATCTTTGTAAAACAATGACTCCAACAGCATTTTAAAACTAGTGTCATTTCCACATCACTGCTGTGCTGTAATATTAACAATAATAAATTCAGACCCTATCTGTTGGAGATCTGTTCAGAAAATACTGAGCCTTTAATTCAAAAGCGTCGCTGTGACACAGAGATTCATTTAATCACTGTATATCACAGCAGCATTTTCTCTGAACTGGAGAATCTGTAGTTTAACTTTAGTACTTTAACATGACTTAAACCTGTCTTTGTGTCTTTCAGGTCCGTCATGTAAATACAGAGAAAGAGAAGACTGTGCACAACGGAGGACACACCGGCTGCGAACAAATGAACAGTTTAAAAATAAAAGTGGCGTTATTTCCGATTTGCATCGACCCAACTGACCAGAGGGCGTTTAAAGGGTTATTCATGTTTTCAGCCTGTTAGCCTTCACATTCCTGCGGATTGTTTTCAGACTCGTCCATCAAATTTTAAATGATCTCTACTGATCGGCTGCTTGTTTCTGTTCATCTCTGTAAAAACTACCTGCTGTATAGTTTTAGTTTTCCCACCTCTCCTGCTCAGAGTACTTTGAGTCACTTCAGGTCACGTCAGTCCACAGCCGTCAGTTTTCTGTTTTTGTTTTATTTATTATGATTTTGTTGTAATATATTGTGATGTTTTGCTGCTGTTTTGTCTTGTTATGATGCTTTTACATTAAAACAGACTTTATTAAATAAAGTTTCTTCTGGTGTTAATCTGTATCTGACTGTTTCTTAAACATCTCGGTCGTGTTGATGTTAAAGACAAACTGAGGAGGTGTTTTCTTTCTTTTAGAGGGTTTTTGTTTATTTCATATTAAAGAATGTGACTCAGAATAATTTGAATTTATGTCACTTTACATTTTCATACACAATAATGTGTTTTTAATTTGTATGGTACAAAATAATGACGTGTTGATTCACCTGGATCAGAAAGTAGATATGAAACTTGACAAGCAGGTTAAATTCTTTTTATCAGAGAGCTGCCAGAAGTGTCTTTGAGGATTGACTGAAAATACGCAGCCCAGTGAGAAGTGTTGTTAAATTATCTTCTGTTTTATTTTATTTGAAATATCTGTGGATATTTATCTTTCAGAAAAACACATCAATAACCTGAAGATTCTTGGTATTTGGTTAAATAAATCAAACTGGCTTTCAAAAGGTTCCCTGTTAAGTTTCAGAGCTCTTGTATCACCATTGAGTGTTTTATCATGTGCATGTGGATGCAGGTGCACGTACGTATTAGGCGATGTGATAATGCAGTCCGATCATTGTTCCACTGATCAACAGGTGGCGCCAACACAGCGAAGAAGAAGACTGCAAGCTGATAAACCTGGACCTAAAATCGACTTTGCAAATTTTCTGTGAGGAGGGAAATACACTGGACATGTTTCTTGGACCTGGAGGAGTCACACAGTGAGTTCTGGGGAAAAACACTGAATATAAACTGATGTGTACTCTTTAATGTGTCGTCAATACAACTACGTCTGTCCTTGAATTTTCTGAACAACCGTTCATCAGATCAGCCTCATACTCTGCAGATGTTTGCTGAGGATCGGGGGTATTAATTCAATTTTATAAAGCTCAATATCACAAATCACAATTTGCCTCACAGGGCTTTACAGCATGCGACATCCCTCTGTCCTTTGGACCCTCACAGCTGATCAGGAAAAACTCCCTAAAAAACCCTTTAACGGGGGAAACAAATGGTAGAAACCTCAGGAAGAGCAACTGAGGAGGGATCCCTCTTCCAGGACGGACAGACGTGCAATAGATGTCGTACAGAACAGATCAGCATAAATAAATAGTGTTATGTACATTGTGTAGAAATGGTTAACTGTCAGCCCCATCCATCCCTCTGTAGCTCTGACTCATTCACTATGTTTCCAGTCACAGTGAAGTGTTTCTACAGTCCCAGCTGGACGAGGACATCTAACTGGCCTACTGTCCTTGTCCCAGTATACAAGCACGGGAGGGGAATCCATTTATTGAGCCAAGTATGTGCGACTCCTCTTCGATAGGTGGAGATATGCCCCCTTTCAGCTTGTTAGTATTGGACCTTTTTCCTGTTGACCTATTACGTCACAGACCAAACAATGGACAAACAAGTTAGCTACGGTTAGCTAGCAGCTAACTGCTACCATAGTGGACAACTTTACAGCTCTGTACATTTGGTCCGTCCAAAAAGTCACGGCTCTGGATGTAGATTTCTCCATGTTGTTACCGGCTTCTTCTTCTCTTACACATTTAATGCTATTTGACTTCCGGGTCAAAGCCCGGGGTGGAAACTGTGGAGCATGCTCAGAGCGCCTCGGCCAGTTTGGGTCTGATTGACTGTATACATGCAAGAGGAATTCAGCTCCCAATCTTATTATTTTTGGGGGGGGCAAGGGTTAAAAAGCAATCCTGCTTCAGGCACCCAAATGTCCAGCAGCGACCGTGGCTACAGTACAATTAAGGACAGATGACAAAAGGTCGGAGATGTTTCGTTGGAGCAAACGCAAACATTTCAAGCATCAGTGATGTAACGTTGAGAATGAACGCTTTCATTCCTGGAAGGAGCCTGGTCCAAAATAGCTAGCTGTCAGCAAATGGTGCGTATAGTCTAGCACTGCTAAGGGACATGACTATGTCATGACAGGTGTGTTGCTCAGGACTCGAGGTGTTGAGCTGTCTGTATGAGCAGTTTTGAGAAATAGCAAAACCAGAGGCCGAGCAAACGGCCTGCTCCGATCAGGAAACTGAGACAAACTGGGTCAAATCATGCTGCTGAACCAAAGCCATGTTCAAGGTTCCCATGGTCATGGAAAACCTGGAAAAGTCATGTTATATGTAAAATCCATTTACATTTTTGAAAAGTCATGGAATTAGCATTGACTGTGCTCATGAAGCTCAGCGTAAGTTCAGTCAGTAAGACTTTCTTTGAGCTCATCCATTCACAGTTCTCCCCTCCCACTCACACTTCATCCTCTCATCAGCTGACTCAGGCCCCGATCACACAGGAAGCATTTTGCAGGTTGCAAAACACAAGGCGCACCCCACTGCCTTTTTTTAGTTGAATGCCACTAGTGGCTATCCCTTGTAATCAATCTATTGTTTATTTATTTATTGTATGTATCCTGCAGTAATTAGTGTGTAGCTGCTGCCATGTTGAGGCAGAGGGTGCTGTCTGTAGCTCTGGTTGAGGGTGAGAGGCTGTCAGCAGATAAACAGAGATCTGTGTGGGTACATGAGACCCTAAAAAAGAGGCTGGATCATGGGGAGTACCACCAGTTGGTCCAGGAGCTTCTCCTCCATCATGGGCATATTTTAGGACGACTCAGGGGCAGTTTGACAACCTGCTGTCTATCATCGGGCCGTATAGCTCTGGGTATCCAGCAACCACTACCACCAGTTTCTCCTCCATTGTTTACCAACTGTAAACCTGTTGTTGTGACCACCACAGAAGCCCCGCCCCCCAAATCATCCCATTGGACAGAGGGGAAAAAGATGACGCACAAAGAGATGATGTGGGGCGCTTTCCCACTTTGAGTTGAAGTTTTTTCAGCTCGAGGAGTTCAGAGCGCTCTGGCAAAAAGCCAGGCGCCTAGAGCGCAGAAACTCAAGGTGCGTCGCAACACAAAAAACACAGCGAGCAAAAAGCTTCATTCTCATTAAAAAGGGTTACACAAAGTTGCCTCCAGCTGCTGAAACTCTTCCTGTGTGATCGGGGCCTAACAGTGCTCACTCTTTTAGTTATCCAATCAAACTTCGCAATGATCTCCATCAGCCAATCAGGATGCTACTGCAAAATTCTAAATCTGCTCTCTCCTCTGCTGCTGTCAGCCGTCATTTTAGGCAGAACTGTCGCACCCTGCTCCAACCTGTTCACCTCCGGCCATCGTATCCAGAGTCAGGACGAACTCACCAAAGGCTCAGTCTTCTACTCATCCAGATCATCAGCATCTTCTCATCTCATCTTCACCACCTCCTTCAACATCAGTGTCCCTATTAGGCAATGGATTCATCACCCTCCTTAAATCATATCATCTCTGTGGAGTCTACTCACCAAAGACATCACATGTATGAACATGAATTGATTTTTCATTCTTATGTGCACATTGGAATAGTTTTAATACTCATGGCACTGTGATGTTTCTGTGAAATTTCTGCAGGGAATAAAAACTGAGGGACGTGTACGTTGACATTGTTTTCGCATCATTTTCAACAACTGCTTAAGTTTTCTCTCCCTGAAGGACTTTTTTTTTTTTTTTTTTAAGATATCTTCAGATTCGCAATTTTGTCCGATGCTCATTTCCTGCCCTTCCTAATGATCCTGACCTTGCTGCTTTTCTGGAACCTCTCTCTTCTGTTATGGACACGGAAATTTCATTATGGGTCCTTGAAAAGTCTGGAAATATGCAGGACTTAAATCTGTGGTTGTTTCCTCATTTTGACGTTAACGAGACAGAAAAAGTGTTTCGACCTCAGCGGCGAGACTTTAATCCACACACACACACACACACACACACACACACACACAACCAGAGACTGTGTGTGTGTGTGTGTTTGTGTGTCTTTGTGTTAGCAGCCATGTGGCTTTCATCAAAATTCAATTATCATACTGAAACACGCTTCACAGGAGACACACACACACACACACACACACACACACACACACACACACAGGAGAATGCAGAAACGGAGTGTCTTAATAGTTTCAGTATGGTTCTTATCACTGCCATACAGTGTGTGTGTGTGTGTGTGTGTGTGTGTTATAGCTCGTTATGATGAATATCATCCGATGTTAAAGGTGTAGTGCAACACACTGTACACACACTCCTTTTGCCTCTCTGTTTGTTTTCTTTTAAAAAAAAAAGCATCATCCTTTTTTCATTTTTTCCAATCAAACGGATAAAAGTTTATTTCAGCGCCGACAGAAATCAATCAGTGTCACTACCTTTAATGAACGGGTGAAACAGCTGTTCAAAATGACATCATATGAGACACTAAAGTCCAGTTCAGACCAAAGATTCGCAACAAGACAAGTTGAAACAAACACCTACTGTCAACGCTCCGTTCTGTAACGTTGTAAAAAGCTGGCGGTTTCACATTCAGATTCAGTTATTAATCCCACCGAGGTTAATTTGTTTGCCTTGCACACACATTATAACATAACGTACAGTAACATGTAGACACACCAATAGAAGAATAATAAAATAAAAAACAGACATGGAAGATATGCCAAGGAGTTCAGTGAAATAAAGGAATCTTCATAAGAGATATAAACTATAAAATCTATAAAGAGAATTTAAAAGACAAATAACAGAGGGAATAAAAGATTTTAAACATCGTGAGTTTAGAAGCAGGTAAAGTGTCACGATGCCCTGACGGCAGCAGAGAAAAGGTGTCTACAAGAACACGTCCAGAGGAAGCTAAAATACTCTTTCTGGAGGATTTGTTGATTGCAAAAAGGCCTGTTGTGTCACTCCTCTGATCTTAGAGCAGATTTTAACAACTATTTAGACTGTTTCTGTCTTTCAGTGTGAGGATGTGAAACCGGATCTGTAACGCTGACAGGAAGTGACCACCATGAGGATAGTGATAGTGAGATACTGGCTACAGTTTTTTATTTTTTCTATTTAACCTTTATTCAACCAGAAAAACCTCTTCAGATTTAAAATCTTCCTTTTTCCTGGCTGAGACAGGCAGCAACATGGAACAGAAATAGAACATGA